TTTCGGAACAGTATCTAGTTCCTTCAATACCAATGTGTTCTAGTAATATGAATTTTTTTCTGTGTTGGTGTTGTGTACTCAGAACCGTCCTGACCGCGATGTTGTGTTACACGAACCGTCCTGACCGCGTCGCTCAGTTGGAAGAGCATTGGGCTTCCAAAGGTCGTAGGTTCGAATCCCACCGTGGCCGGGCATATTTTTCAAGCTCGCCCGGTGTGGATATGCACTCAGAGTAACATCGCAAACGGCAAACATATTATTCACCTGAGTACACAACACCAACACAGAAAAAAAATCATATTACTAGAACACATTGGTATTGAAGGAACTAGATACTGTTCCGAAATATCACTTACACGAACCGTCCTGACCGCGTAGCTCAGTTGGAAGAGCATTGGGCTAGTGTTCCAAAGGTCGTAGGTTCGAATCCCACCGTGGCCGGGCATATTTTTCAAGCTCGCCCGGTGTGGATATGCACTCAGAGTAACGTCGCAAACATATTATTCACCTGAGTACACAACACCAACACAGAAAAAAAAATAGCTCTTCTATACAATAACACACGGACCCCACGCATATGCATTTTAAGGTTTCCCTGCCTAGCTGCCAAAAGGGCGCGTTTCAGCATTATTTCATTACTCACATTACTCATGATGTTTCTAGCGCAAACAACTAAATTGCGTACACAACTTTACATTATCACAACTTAAACTATCTAATTTGCGCCGCTCTTGTGATTTATGAAGCATAATAAAGGACATAATACCAGCAAAAAAGGGCATGATTCCCGTGATCGCTTCGAAACCTGACCAGTATTCCGGTGATGAGACATTGCGTGTGATCACAGTTCACGTTTCTATATGAACGATTTCGTGTGAGCCGTGAGGTAGCAAATTAGCAAATACTGTTAGACAAAATAGTCTGTAGAATTTAATATATCACTTTGTCGCCTATGCGCTTAGTCTATTTATAAGCTTATAAACAGTGGCGGAAATCTTGGTGGGGCGGGGCGGGGGGGGCGGCTGCCCCCCCACCTTCACGGAAAATTGACGAATTTTCGGAAATTTTGACCTAAAAGAGGGCTAAAAACAGTCTTTTCAAGTGCAAATGGGGGGGGGGATGTCGGAAATTTTGTCGGAAATTTAGGAGCACTGCCTATAAACTTTCCGCCACTGCCTATAAACACATCTTTTCAGTCGGCAGTAACTATATTTTTTCGAATGCGATTTTTCCCACCCACTTTCAAAACTCTACGCGGGATCGGCGCCCCCTTTTCATTTTTGCGCCCTGCAAGAATTGCCAGCTGGTGGGGGGCTGGCCCCCCGGCCCCCCTGCCAGCAAGCCAATGATGTTAGAATTAGTAAAATTGCAAAGTTTGCTGCAAAATGTTGTAAAAAATTAAAAAATTAAATATAGCCCTGCGAATATCGCAAATTTTGTGTATTTATTTATTGTATTATGCACAGAAAAATTTACCACTGTCAAGGCTAAAATGGTAACTTTGTAATTTTAATAAATTTAATAAGTTATGGGAATTGTCCAGTACCCAACATGTAATTATAATTTAATTTAATAACTTAATTTGTCTATAATCTTATGAGTCATTAGTATTAATCAAGATGTGGGTAATGCAATGAGAATTTGCATAGTATGACCATGCAGTTGCTATACATAGCTTTGTCATTGAGGTATTCAAGAGTTTGGAATAAACATGATATTCGATATATCTGTAGCAGCATGTTTTCAAGCACCAGCTGCAACCATGCACCTATAACTAATTTGACAAAGAATATAAGTGGGCATTCAAATTTTAAATCAATGGTTATAAATAAATATGTATTAAATATACTTAGTAAAAATCATAGCTCTTGCATATAAGCCAAATGAGTAAACTGCATCCAAGACTGATTTTCCACAACCATAACTAATAAGTAGTAAACCAAACATCAGTGCAAAGTCAATAGTTGTTCTTTGGGAACGAATCTCTCCAATGGCATTTAAAATAGGTAGAGCAGATTTAAATTTAAATTTATCAGTCTTTTTCCCTGTATTTGTTCCTGGTTGTCTTCCAAGACACAAAAGATTTATTACTTGGGTCAGCAAAGAGCATTGCTTTTCAACAGTATCTGCCACATGGTAAAAAAAGCTCATTTACAATTGTGCTAATATCATCTGTTTCTTCAATGTTTTCAAACCCAAATTGTGCATACTATCAACAGTTTTCATTTCTTCTTTTATTTTTTTTTTCTGGAATTTTGTCAACTGATAATCAGTGCCCATTGAAGTAATATTGCTAATATCAACAAGGGTTTCTTGCATCTGTTTCACTTGTTCCTTTGTTTCATGCAGCTCATGTTTAAGTACAGTATTTTCAGAAGAAATGTGTCTTATTGCATTATCAATGCACCTCTGGAGATCATTACGCAATACACTGTCAGTTACAGCATGTAAATTAAGAACATCTTCTATGTTCGTAAAACTTTCCTGTTCTTGTTGCTGCTGTTGCATTAATTCAGATTCTTGGATATTCCTTATATTTGAATAAGTAAGGCTGATTATGGCTGTTAAGAAAATATGACTATTATAAAATAATATACTTTAAAGTATAGTAGTGGATTATTCAATTAAACTGCAATGAGCACAAGGTAACACTTATGATTCTTAGTCTGTATAAAAATATAGTAAATATACATTTTGTCAGTGGAAAATTAAGCTCAATGACATTAAATGACATTTGGGAATTATAGGAAAGGATACATTTTCTTCCTATTATCTTTGCCATCAATTGACTGCCAGCTGTTTTTCTATACTTCTTTTCAGTTTTCTCTCCAAACAGTGCACTGATTGCTTTATACAGGTCTACACGACGTATTGGCCTTCCAAGGTCACTTTGTACAATATCTAGGATATCATCAACTCCAGTGACACAGCCTTCTTCATATGCAAAATTTGATGCTAAAGATTGACGTATATCTATATAATATAATTTACATAATAATTATGTATGTTGTTATATAACTGTTTCATTATTCAACCTAGAAATAATAGTAATTGGTCAAAAACAATTATCAATGTATACCTTCATCATAGTTTAAGTTCTTTGCTCTCTTATCAGGTGGCCTTTTCGAATTTGGGCTAGGAGTAAAACATAGACTTCTTTTACCAACTCCTTTGTTTGCCCTAATTTCTAAAATGTGAATTAATTCATTTAATAAAGTGTCCCATGTACACAGACACTCTTTTCCACTTGTCAATTGTAACCCCGCCCCCAAACCTTGGGAAAAGGTGGGGACATGAGGCAATGTGGCATTTTTTCTATTTTGACACTTACACAGTTATACCTTACCTAGTGGCTAATGGGGGGATTTTCCTGTTATGGACCCCGAACCCTGGTATGCAAGACATAATATGGCCTACATTATACCCCACAAATCCCCCATTAGGTCAGGCGCAACTAACTGTTTATGTGGGGCCATTGTATACAGCCTGCTCACAGGATTGTCCTGTTGAGCCTGACCTAAATATTACAAGCCAGGTTAGTGCCATTTTTATATAAAGTTATAGATTTTGTTCAATAAAATTTTTGGATTTTTTAAAAAATTTTGTCCCCAAGGGTTGGGTTGCCACAGGGGGTCAGGTAACAGTTAAATATGGATATATTAAAATTTATTCCCCCACCTTTCCTCAAGGTTGGGAAGGGGTTACAATTGACAAGTAAAGGATGAAATACATCAATGTTCGTTGATCATATTCGATGTATACATATAAACCAAATTTAAACTGTGTTTAAAAATGTGCTCAATTAAAAAATTGTATACAAATGTATGACACTGAAAAAATGGTAAAATGGTAACATTGGTAAAATGGTTACATTGGTAAAATGTTCAAAACATGCAGTTTTGTCGTATAATCCTTGATGTTTAAGATTTATATACTCACAAGTTGTGATCTACACTATACCAATATACTGTAGTATATACCCAAATGCGCTTTCTACTTGACAGATTGGAAATATTTGGATAACATGTGTTGTCAAAGCGTTTTTAGTCGGCATTCAATGGCTTTATATTGTAGTAATACGAGTCGTATGTTGCTTGACAGTATGGTAGCGAAACGTAGCCTATTTCTTTGTTCCGAGAGCATTAGAGCAAAACTAATGACTTAATATAAACACACAAAGGAAGTCAACACAAAGGAAAATGTAAAAAAGGTCAAGTATAGGTCAAGTGCATCCGTGTTGAAAACTTATATAAAGCTTTATTAAGTCGGCACAGCGGGGGAACAAGCTGTTTATTAAAAATTATATTGACTCACCTTCGTTTGAGCCGAGGTTTGATCCTTCGTTTTGAGCCATTTTCTTAAAAAATCTTTCAATTTTCTATTTACAAATTGGGTATGCCTGGTAAACAGGCCAGGGACCATCAGACATTGAAATCAGGGACCATTTTACTGAAATCTGCTAGGCTCTCGCGATGAAGCGCTCGGCACAGCACACCCAGGCATAAAACTTATAAAACACTTAAAGCAGCGTTCAGCGCGAGAGCCTGGAACTAGGCTGGCAATCCACCAACTACAGCAGCGTAACAGCTGGGCATTCTGTTGTCGCTGTCTAAATATTGCGGGCGCATTTCTTTAACAAACATTTTGATTCTTCGAACGCTGAAAATATGCATTGTGAGATGATTTTTTGTCCTCTTTTACTGATTTGTTCATGGAAAATAAAGTGTTTCTTGAAAGATTAAGTTGTAATGCTTGTACGCAACGATATAACGACTTAATCGCATAAAAACGTACGAAGAATTTTTATTTACAAATGGGCGACAAGTGGAAATGTTTCACTCATTGTCAGAGTTTCAGAAGCAGGGTACAGCAGTATGGAAACAAGGAAGTGTTCATATTTTACTCTTGATAGAAGCTGAGTTGTTGTTGTTTCCACAGGTATGTTCAATAATTTGTTTGTCCTTCCTCATCTGGAATAATAAGTGTCTTAAAATACATATTTTGATGAAAATGATACATATTCCTCTTGCAATTTCGTAAAAACTGGCCGTTGCCTCAGTTAGAAAATATATTTTATGAAAGTTAAATCATACTTTGTTTTATTAAAACCCGGGGTATTCATGGGAAAAATATGCTAGATGTTGTAAATGACAAATCCACTTGTGAAGTGAAAATGTCATGTTGTCACATGCTTATGAAATTGCTCCTGTATTGGTTTGTTATAAAGTAAAAATTGCTGCAAAAATGCTTTTGAAAATGTTCAAGTATTGGTTGTTATGAGATAGGAAATGTCGTATTGATTTGTTCAGTTTTAAGAGTCTAACGGCAATCCTGAATATAGGCATGCTTGCTTTGTGAAATTCTGTGGTGATATGGCATATAAATAAAAATATCTTAAAATTTTTACCATTGCTTCTCTCCAAAATATGCCTTGAAACTATCCTTATTAGTCAACCTTCATGGCAAAGTTAGTGGGTATGCTGGGAAAAATGCGCGCGGCACTTTTTTTGGACACTGAAGATGGTAACATTTGATGTTGTCATATATTGCCATCCTCTTATCATAGCATAACTTAACTTATTTTAGTGAGTTTGTTAAAGAGTTTTGCTCATTATATGCCTGTAGTATCTAAGATTTTTTCATAGCATTATATGACAAATTTAAGTTCTGTTTTCTTTTATTCTTAGGTGATAGTATCTGTTCACTTGAGTGTTGGTATCAAATTTTGGACAAGTTTCAATTATTATTTCACATTCCTTTATTCAAATATCCAAATAAATGGAATAAGACATCATGCTGGAGGACTAGATTCTGTTTCCAAACTTGTTTTTGTAAAAATAGAAAATAACAACTTATTCTGTGTTGTTCTAATAAAAACTATTGTTTTTGATATGCATATTTAATTTTTAAAATTACAGTCATTCTTTGTTAAAATGTGTACCAGGAATACTGAAATCTTTCAGATCAGCTACCAATTCCCTTTATAACTTATGTAGCCAAGTGTTGTATCTATTTCTGTTCAGATTAAACAAGTGATGGGTAAAATATTAGTTTAGATTCTTCAAAAAAAAATGAGCTTGCCTATTTTCAAAGCATAAAAAGCAATAAAATAAAGCAAAAGTACTTATTTTTAATTTAAAACCTTTGGATTGCATAGCTTAATGTTTTCCACTAAATATTACAAAGTTTTCATTCATTGAAATGTTGTTTTATCAGCTTTAAAACCAGATAAATCCACGAAGCACTCCTAATATATGTCGCCATATTGATTTTTTCGCGCATGCTCCGTACAAAATGCCCAGCTGTTCAGCAGCGTTGCGTCGCGGCAACCTCGTACCAGGTTCCCCGTGTTTAAAGGTTCTGGTGCACGTGGAGGGACCCTGGCAAACTCTGATTGCCAGGTTACCAAATAATCCAAAAATCTTTGTGTATTTGTCGACCTGGCCTTTTTTAGCATTGGCATAACGGGGGGGGACTCATAATAAAAAAATATTTCACAAACTGCAAGTTTTTATATCAAAGTCGGCTGTTTAAAAGGATTTTTATTGCACCTGCCGTACGATTTATCAAATTTTGATATCATAAGTGATATTTTGAAGTGGAAAGTCATTCAATTACTGGTTAATATCGAAGAATTTGAACTCATGATCCGCCATCATGCCATGGAAATGTATATATATTAAAATCTATATACAGAGCTCTGGTTAAAAGAACCAGGTACCGTATTAAATACCACTATTAGGTAACAAATATATTCTCATAATATATATAATGTTTACTCAAATTTGAATGTCTACAAATTGTTCTTTCCCATTGCAATTTGCGGCTTCTTATGCTATGCTTTTCAAGCCATCGAAAGAACTTTAAAGTCCACTTGTTGGCGTAGCTTGGCTTTCTCTCAAATGGTTTTATCTTCTTCAGGTCCTGTACCATTATTACTTGATAGTCTCTTCACGTCTCACATCTGAGACCTAGCTTGTTCAAAATATTGTGAAAAGAATTTGATGACTTGAAGTATACAAGAGGAGTCTCTTCTTGTTGATGTTGTTTCTTAAGCCACTGATCACCATCTAATCTGCATGATGGTCATGCAGTTGCATCAAGAACACAGCTAGCTCTATATATCATGTTTAAACCGTAGAACCTATCATTGTTTGAAAACATTTAGACCATAATTATTATTCAAACTGCCAAGATGACTAAGTATCAGATAAATTGAAAATTAAAGCTATAGCATTTACAAAACTGAATTGAATAGTCAAATTGTAAAATTATTGTATTAATTTATTTATTATATTAATTATATTGTTTAATTTATATATTATATTAATACAGTAAATAATATTTAAATTTGAGTAAATATTATATGCAGTATGAGAATATATTTGTTACATAATGGTAGTATTACACTACCTGATAGTGTTCTTTTTTATCCAGAGCTTTACAGTATAGTATATAGATTTATACATTTCCGTGGCGGATCATGAGTTCAAATTCTTCGATATTAACCAGTAATTGAATGACTTTCCACTTCAAAATATCACTTGTGATATCAAAATTTAATAAATCATGTACCAAGATCAAACATATTGGTTAACCCCTTATGCGGCAGCGCTCTCGCCTTGACGAGTAAAATCATGTTGAATCATCTGGCATTAGACAGAGTAAATAGTAAGGTAGGGCGCAATGCGGCTCAGTGGGTTAACTGGACACATGGGCAGTTAGGCCAGTTAACCATTAAGCCCCAGCATGATCTCCCCTTGATGAGTAAAATCATCTGGTGTTGAACAGAGTAAAATAATAAAGTAGGGTGCAATGCGACTCAATGGGTTAAAATTTAAATGCCAGCCAATAAAAATCCTTTAAACAGTTGACTTTGATAAAAACTTATATTTGTAAAATATTTTTGAAATATAAATTATTTATGCCATTGCCAAAAAAGGCCAGGTTCAAGATTTTTGATTATTTGGTAACCTGGCAATCGCAGTTTGCGTTGAGTTGGTTGTTTCAAAATGTGACCATATTATGTCAGCTGAAGATATGTTTGTGAGCTTTGAAATTTAGGATATATGCAGCATGCATATACCAGTACTTTTTTAAAATAATTACTGACCTTTGTGAGAAATAGGTACAAGTTCAATTCCAATTTGTTATGTTAGTTATATATTATAGTTTCTACTTTTGAGTGATCTATTGCCATGGCCAGAAATTCGGGACATGCGCCCGCAAAATATTTCAGCGGTTTTTCTTATGAAAAGTTATTCATACCTAACAAACGCAAGTTTTAACTAAAAAAAGACATTTTTCTTAGTTTTTTGTTTAACTAAAGCAGAAAAATAAATATATTAGGAATTGTCGGCCTTTTACATACCTTTCATTTATTATGATGGGATATAAAGTGATGCGCATGACTCAAATATTTTGTATATACATCGCTATCCCTCCGTGTAACCCGCACTGGAAGAAAGCCTGGTTCCTAAGCTTCTTGTTGATATCAAACATGGACGACAATTCATGAAACATCGTTCTTCTTGCAATGTTTTACGGCCTTGGACAGGGTATTTATGTGTAAAATATCAACATTTTGTCCCGTAAATTGGAACAAGTAAAAAAATTCGTATCACTATGAAATTATGCAGACAAGCAGGGGACAACATATATTATACGACGCGAAGTCTGCAAATTTCATGAAGGGTTCAAGGGATACATGCGGCCAGAGCAAAATGTACGTTTTCAACGATTTTCTCAAGTTTTACTATACTTTATTATACGCCGATGTACTATGAAGTGAACTTGAATAATGGAACAACTTATAGGTAAGATTTCGATGCGAAACTTTTCTGTTCTACGGTCCAGATAGGGTTTATATTATTGCGAAGTCTGCAAATGACATAGCTATTATCAAACAGGTTTAAATTAAAAAACCCCGCTCCACTCCTAATGATTTATATACAACAAATCCGCCATTTTTTTTGTCAAAGTTCGCACATGCTCAGAATCCATGTCCGCTGGGTTGTTCATATTTGGGGCTGAGAATTAATAGATTTTGTTCTTCATTTGCGAACTTGTCAAATAAAAATGAGTTATATCATACTAATAAGCTGCATTGATCACAGCCGTTGAATAGCAAAGCATGCATGTTTGTAGATAAGATTGTACTTTATCTATTATAAAATTTAACTACAATGAACATATAGATCTTCACCCATCCATGATGGGAAAGGGGGTTGAAACAATCGCAGAACAAGTTTGCAATTGAAGGACAATTTATTTGTCGACAATCCCTATTAATTCAAGTATCAACTATATGAGGATTTTGTTTACACATTACTGTGTATCATAATTATATGAATT